TGTCTCACCTCGACTCTCGGGCCCGAAATCATCCTTTGTGAAATGTGGTAAAGTACGATCCCGGAACCCAGTGGGTATACGCTTTCCCTCCACATTCTGCTGTCCGACACATGCTATAATCTGAAAACTCAAACTGCTACTTTGCTACTATAAGTGGCAGTTATGATAATAGTGAAGATGGCTTCACTATATCCATCTACACTAATATCGAGAGCAGTTAGGGTAGTATAGTAGGCGAGCACTAGTGTATAGTAGCAACAATGGTAATTCGCCAATACCGACTATGGAAGGCCGATCACTTTAAAGTAACAGTACTCTGAATGATGAAAAGAAGACGACGAGTGGTATAGCGGTTGAAGCGGTTCATGCTAGTAGTATGAATACTACTTAGTGAAGGGAAGGGAGCATCGATGGTTACCTGGGCAATATTGATAGGGTTACCCTTTGAACCCGAGTCCACCATAGCGATGATGTTGTTCTTATCATCAAGACTATCGGCCGCGAGCCTTCCAGAATCCTGAGACACAGTGTTGCAATATATGTTCGCTTTCCTCAGCTGAACTCATGAGTTTCCCCACTAATCGTCGGAGCTCATAAGCGAATCGAATAAGAAGTCCACGGAAAATTTCCTCACAATTTTCGTATAGTCACCAACACATGTGGTTGACCATGTGAAGTTTTCATCGCACTGCTGAGATATGCTATCATCCCCATCACCATTATCACCACACCCAGAGCGCATACCTCACGAGCTTGGTTCAACCTCTGATTCACTCGCGCTTCAAATGACTGCTGTAGAGACTTGCCAGGCTGGGCCTCCAACCGTCCCCTCTGGGCATCCAATACCAACTTCCTCACATCTCTCTTCGCCTGGATAAACCAATACCATCTTTTCATCAAAACCATCGATCTACCTGTGCCAGAGTGTCGGCCACCTTCTGCATGGTACCGTCGTTGGCAACGATATCCGCGCACCCAACCGTGAAGCCGTGATGGAGTAACCAAAAGTTCACCAGCCTTTGAATGCCACCTACAAGAACATAACCAGAGCGCCTGAGGGGACAAAAATGAGACTACCGATAAACTGCTTAGTTCTTTCCGGACCATAATCCAACCAAGTGATGTGGATCAGGCCACCCGAGGAAGCACCAACAGTCTTCTTACAGATGACGCCAGACATGATCTCGCCCTCTTGAATGATAACCTGCAGGTAACAACCTTTCCATCATCCACTACTACCCCTACTACTACTACTACTACTACTACTACTACTACTACTACTACTACTACTACTACTACTACTACCCCTACTACTACTACTACTACTACTACTACTACTACTACTACTACTACTACTACTACTACTACTACTACTACTACTACTACTACTACTACTACTACTACTACTACTCCTACTACTACTACCCGGCAGTCGCTCCTTGAGAACCATGGGTCATCTCCTCGGTTCTTACTAGCTATACCAGCATCCTTCTGTAGACTAATCTTCGGCAAGAGCATAGAGAACAGCTGCTTGCCAGACCAAAGTGGACGAGGCTTCAAAATGCAGGGCATAGGCATGTTGCCGCCATCCCAACTAGCTGGCAGTAACCACATCAACAACTGCATACACATATCCTTCTCTATGAAGGTATCACGTTTCGTGAGCAGTGTTGAGGCGAGG